TCCCAAGCCCCTTCTCCAACAAAGGAGCCCATTCCAGTCTCGACCTTGTAGAAGATGGACTGCGTCATGCCTGGATTCCAGTGGAGGGATGTCCTTGGCGCGGCCGCGCCGAAACTTGCAACGCCAAATCAAGTGAACGAAAGTGAGTTCCTCATCACGCATGGAGAGTGTTGTGGTGAAAGGCTCTCAGGGCACTGGCCAGTTTATCACTGGTGTTCTTTTGGAGCCTCCAGCTGACCGTCCAATCCAAAGGCCGTTCAAGGTCATGGCACCCTTCGTACCTCGTTAACCTGAGAAACCGTTGCCACTTGAACTCCCCCACTAGCTTGTGAAGGAGAACCGGCCAGCAGTCATCAATGCTCAGAGTGCAGTCCGGAATCCCACCAAAACCAGTCCGCCTCCATTGCTTGCCATTGGAAATCTCGAAGTCATAGCCCAGTAGATAGGCTTGAAGTGCTTGAAGTGGTCCGGATACCACCTGCCATCCGTAGCGGACCTTGAGGAGGGCTCCAAGTGCACTTTTGTGAAGGCGTAGATCACGAGCAGCTAGCGCCCTCAGTTTCTGTCTCCGCCAACCCGTTAGCCTGGGCCCAAGTCATCACAGGACGCACAGCTCCTCGATGAAGACGATAGCGGGTGGATGGAGCAAGCCGCAGTATTCCGGTTCTGCCACTGCCCTTGATAAAGCGCTTCTTTATGTGGGTCACCCGTCTCCTCCTTGTGGCTGTAGCATCGACCGACGTCACGTAGCACGTCGTAGTCGGCAGGGTCATGGTTGTCAAGAACTTGTCAACCTCCTTGCTGACTTCTTTGGCGCTTGTCAAGAAGCCAATTTTGTCTGTGTTGAGGCACAGACCAGCAGCTTCAAGCTCAGCCCTCAAGGTGCGGAAAGCCAGAACTCCTTCCCTAGCCACGTAGGCCGGATCTCTACCCCGGATGTCGAATGACACGTCGATCATCCACCCATGTCTGCAGGGAGACTGCCGGATGTGACTGCGCCAGCTGCTTCAGTGGCCTGTTCGGGATGAGCTTCGATATTGCCGGAGCCTGTGGGCCTTGTTGGTAGGTGATCTCCGCTGATGCCCTCCGCCTGGATGATACGAGGTCCAGTGTACAGGTCCAGTCATCTTGATGAAGCACAGGCTCGAGGGCCCGGGCAGGTTCGATGATGTGGTCCAAGTGACAGTGTCATAGAAACACGACAAGTCAGCCAGGCAAGAGACTGTGTGGATGCCTTGACGCTTGCTGATCTCCGCCTTGACCATCCGGCCAATGGCAGTCTTGCTGTGGCCGCGCTTTGTCCCAGGGGAGCTCTTCACCCAGGCCAAGCTGCCATCGGTGTAGATCGTGTTTCCGGTATCGATTCCAAACACGATACAGACAGGAGGTCAATGCGACCGGTCTTCACTTTGCTGTTTTGTTTTGAAAGGGCTGTCGCGGGATGTCTCTCGGCCGGAGGCTTCTGAACAGCCCTCGCAAGCCCTTGGTCTGACCTTTTTCTTTACGACCGGAGCTGAGCAGCGCTTTGTGAGCCTTTTGTTCCTGGTCCTGAATTATCCGCCTCAGCTCTGTAGGATCATGCTGAGGAGTTTGCGCCCAAGTGTCAAGAGGAGACAGGAAGAGGTCTTGCTCCATGTTATCTGAGGCATTGTCACTCAGATTGAGCAGCGTGCGTCGGAGATCATGAGCGACACTCCGGGTGTGGGTCTGATGGATGATGTTGACCCTCACCGCCATCTTTACCCAGTAGGCCAGCTGCCCTTTCTCCCAGATTTGCGGCCTACGTGGTCAACGAGTGGAGCCTTCCTCATATGAATTTCCCACAATGATGCTGAAACAGCCATTGGTTTCCGAGAAGGTGGCCCAGCGCTGTGGCAAGGGGATGCGCCTTGCCAATGGGTGGAAATCTTTGAAGCTGTTGTACTTGTACTTCCGCAGTATCACAGGCAAGAGTGCCCGACTGTGCACTGAGGTTTCCAGGGTACATCCCAATCCGTCGTGAGCTGGATAGCACTGACCAACACTGTGGAGACCAGGAGGTAGTCCAGTTGAGACCCACGCAAGGTCGTGGGCGAGTTGGTGTCCAGCATTTGGCAATTGAACTTGCTCGTAATCACCGTGGCAGCCAAGGCTTCCGGAGGGTCTGCCAATCGCCTCCAATGATGAAAGGAGCATGGGTGTGGTCCAAGAGGTTGAGGAGCCCGGAGAGAATTTCTGCGTTGCGCGGAGATTGCAAGGTTTCTGCTGTTCGCAAGTACACCTGATGAGCAAAATGAGGGAGCCTTCTGGTTGCAGACCCAGGCTGTCCACCCATTGCCTTCCAGGGTGTATGTCAAGTGACGTTGCCCGAGCGTTGAAGTATTGCATGGCCACTTTGGTCCACGCCCAATCCTGAACCTTGTGGCCAAAGTTCGTCACATTGCCAAAGATGAGGTGGAGCGTCTTGTGTTGACATCTCTGCTTCTTGTGCAGGAAGGGAGCCAGCTCTTCCGGCTGTTCAAGCACCAACCAAATTTGCGCCACTTGCTGCTGGTGTTGATCAGAGAGATGTGGTAGTGGCTGTGGGTATTTGCCATCATTAGCGTACCAGAAGGCGTTGTGCGAGCAGTGGATTGCCACATAGTGTCCATTCTCATGACCACTGCCCTGATGGAGAACCAGACTGACCACCTTGTACGAAGCCATGTGCGCATGGATCCCATCTTCAGAGAAGGGGATGCTCCTCAGGACGCGTGCAAATACCGACCATTGCCCTCGTTGGACCAAAGCATGATGAGGTTTTCCAAAGTGGTGTGGCCGTGTTCATGTGGGAAGAGGATGTTGAGCGGCGCTCTCTCCTTCTCTTCGAGCCTCCCAGTTGGATGGAGATGGAAAAACTTTCCTTCGAAGAAGGTCGAATTGGCATACTCCCACAGATGTCCGACAAAGTGCCCAACATCATCCTGGCTGCCCTGATCATAGTGTCTCCAGATGCAGTCCATCATGTCCAGCCCTGTGATCATTTGATGTTCAGATGTGAAGTCCAAAGCAACGAAGACTGACATCGCACAGACCCTGGTTGTCGGAGGCGATGGAAGATGTTGCCTTGAAGTCTTCTGATGGTCAAGGCGCTGATTTGCAACGAGTGGGGCATTGACATCCACTCCCTTCAGAAGAGCGCAAAGGACTTGCTTGACAGTTCAACCCTTTTGATGCTCGACATTGAGGTGGGAGATGTCCTTCAGGCGGTCATTCGCCTCACTGGCGGAGCAAACGCTCCGGTTCAGAAGCACTACCTGAAGAAGGAGCAGGCAGTTGCGAAGTTGAAGAAGGAGACCAACGAACAGCGCGCGCCAGATGTTGAGCTGAACGTTGATGACAGCTTGCTTCCGGAGGCATTCGCCACCTTCATCAACGCCGAGCGTGTGAAGGTGAATAACCCGACGGCTTCGAGGTCTCAAGGGTGCGTGAGACTTTGGAGACATTGCGCAGCATCTTCCAGAGCAACAGGGAACAGGGGCAAGAAAGGGGAGAAGAAACTGACCATCAATGACAAAATCATCAAGTCGCTCAATCTGATGTATCTGCAGGTGAAGACCCTCAACATGCGCTTGGACAAGATGACCTTCGTTTAGGGAGAGGCACTGCTGGAGAAAAACTGCCTGACAGCAGTGTGGGTTCTCCCCCATCCCGAAGACTGCTCACCCGCAAAAGCTCCAGCCCAGCTCCAGCATCGAAAAGCAGCGTTGCCAAAGCAGAGGTTGTGTGGATTTTGTAAAATGCTCGTCAATCCTATGACAAAGACATTGCCCTGAGTGGGTTCCGGCTCGCCCGGCAAGGAGAGATGCTTAAGGACCAAGGTCTGCATTTGAGGTCGACCAGCATTTGTTGCCCACTGTGCAAGGTGGCCTTGTGTGCATAGTTGCTGCTGGACTGCAGCAAGTCTCTCTGACAGACCTGGAAAAGGCCTTGCTGTCCAGCTGTCAGACGGACTTCTTGTTGATCAGCGTCCTCATCCACTTCCATGATGGTGTGCCAAAACCTGGCCAGAAGATCAGGGCAGAGGGTTATGTGAGATGCAAGATCGGCGCCCTTCCCTGATCCTGACCCTCAGTTCGTCCTCGATGTGGAGGCCCCCGCCCCTCAATTTGGGCGGATTCAAACTCGAGTGTGCAGGGCCATAGACCCCAGAGAAGGCCCTGTTCGGGGAGCTTGAGCCTGAAAGTGCGAAAGAGTGGGATTTCCATGAGTGCGCGGGGAGCTTGGTGGCCGCTTGAGCATAGTTTTGAGCTGGTCACGCTGCTCTTGCGTGAGACTGACCCCCAAGGTGCTGATGAACCCGGCTGCAGCTTCTGGTACCGGGTCCTTCATGTCAGCGTCCTCCGATAGCTGGACAGGGTCAGGCTGTGGATGTAGGCCGTGCTCGTAGTGTTGAGTTCAGCCCGTTCTTGCTCAATCTTGCTCTGGATACTCTTCATCTCATCGTGACACTCCTGCCTGCCTTCCATCGGTTGTTGATCCGAGGAGCTGGAGATCTAGCAGCATAGCCTTGAGCTGGCTTGTTCCACGTAGTGCCACATTGACGACAAACACAACCTTCCCGGACTCGGTTCCCATATCCAATTCCGGCAGGTGGGGCTGGAGCATATCTGATAGCCTCGATGCCGTTGGCTCCACTCCATGTAGTCCCGCTTCTGTCTCAAGGACGGGGAAGGTGGAGTCGCGATGTGCCACGGTCAGCGGAACCAGCTTGAGCCTCCCGGAGCCTTGAGCCGAGACTTGAGCCAAATCTCTCTCTCTCTACATATATATATATATAAATATATATATTAAAACTATTATCTATATATAGATATACACACACATGTTCAAAAAGTTACTAAACACCTAAATTTGAGCCTGGTTTGGAAACCAGAAGCTCTTGAAGAGACATTGGTAAATAGTTTCTCACCTTCTTTAGCTGGTTTGGGATGTTGCAAAGTGGCCATGTGAAACAAGAATTCCTTGTGGTGTTCGAATAGGTGACTCCAAAAAGAATGCTTCGGGTCGACCTTTGAACCGGAAGAACCTTGGTTGCATCGTGAAAACTGCGAGATCCGAGATGCTGGCAGCACTTGAATGGGAATGTATAATTCTGTGACAAAAGAAAAGGGATAGTTTGGGGCTCAAAGTAAGGAACTCTTCTTTTGTTCTTTGCTCATGTCACTTTATCTAGTGAGCTCGGTCCAAGGTCCAAATCCGCAGGTAATCTGAGTCAAATGAGTGGAGGAGAAAGTGTTCAGAGTGGCCGCCAGATTCCCAGAGGACTATATATTTTCCAGAACAGGTCCATTGATGATTGACTTGCCAAGAGAAAATATGCCTTCGTATATATACATATGTGTGTATATATATATATATGTATATCTGATAAAGGGAGCCTGACGGTCTTAGGTCTTGGGCCATGGGGCAGAGCCCTCCACCAACATGCCACGCACATGTCAGAAATAGAACGTGAAATAGAAATTCGAGCGATGGAATATAGAGGAACCACAACACTGCATGAACCACAGTGAGGGCATAATGAAAATTGCACATCCTTGCCAGAGACCCCACCTGCTTCTACAAAGTTGACCCTTGTTCCCTGGATGTACACACTGAAGAATTGGGGTGTACAGTCTCAAAGCCCATGCCCCGCCGAAACCTCAATTTGAAGAAACCTATACGCGTGGTGTAACCAAACCAAAATTGAGGTTCACAGAGTTCACAGCTTGCTGAACAAGGGAGCGAGATCGACCAAAATCAGTCCAGGTTCCAATAGTGAAGCGAGACATAGGAATCACCCGTGCAAATAGGAGTCTATAGTGAAACGTCTGAGGGAATAGACAGACAAGCCTGTTGAACCTTGCCTCCTGCGAAAAGGATGAATCATTCTAGATGGAGGTTGAAGCTGGTGCCATGTTGCCCTGCTGAAAAAGTTTCAATATCGCAGCGTCAAGTCAAAACTGCAAACGCAAACCTGTGATTCCAGAGCGTTCACACACACTCTATCCATCGCGGGGCAAGATCCCAGGTTCTGCGAGACTTGAAATGGAATGTTTGAGCAGCGGAAAGAAGAAACTAGTACAGTATATGTCAGGACAAGGGAGAGAGAGAGAGTGTGTGTGTGAGAGTGGGAGAATGCCGAAGACGAAGGTGAAAGGGAAACTCGCAACCGCCTACCACCTGCAAAACAGACAGACCTTAAAGAATCCCAAAGACGGATGAGAAGACAGGACAAGACCTCAAGGTGCGCCGGGAAGCAGACTTGGATCCAAAGAGACCTGCAAAGACGAAAAAAGAGGAAGTCCCGAAGAAGAGGTCAGAAAGACGCATGAAGAAGTCGAGGAAGTAGACCAGTAACTCGGATGTTTTATGTGTTTGAAACTTTGGGAGAGAGGTACGGAGAAGAGAGGCAGGAGACCAACAAAGCACAAGAAACCTGGGAAGACACACCTACCATCCGAAGGCCGAACAAATCCCAGCGGACTGGGCTGTGAGCTGAAACCTGTAGTACGTGCTCCTGAGACTTTTACAAGGTTGCTCACCGCCACGGTAGAATTTTCTCGGCCGGTCCACGGGGGCACTTGGCGGGCTCACCCGAATATGTAGTTACGGCCCCGTAGTGTAAGATGCACCTCAGTCCGTCTGTTCCGCAGTGTTTGGGCTTCAGCTATTGCGGTGCATGGTTTGCACTGTGTGTGGCCTTTTCGAAGGCCCCTTTTGCCGCGCGTGCCGCACCCACAAAAGGATCCGAGAGCTCTTTTGCGGATCCCTACTGTTGAGGTCTCAGGAGGAGGAGACCGTACAGATCCTGCGCACCGCGGCCGGGGCCCTTCTGGATCTTGCTGAGGAGGCGGCTCCGATCCTGGCGAGGGAACGAGTTGAGGCTAATCCTGCAAGCTACAATCCTGGACCAGAACTTGATCCCCGTCTTCCACCGGTTGATCCGGGAGCAGCGGCTCCTAGCGTTGTTACATTGCCTGCGGGTGACGCTGGTTCGGGGAGCAGGTCTGCCCCTGATCTCACTGAGGTCAAAGCGGAGCCGGATACAGAGAGCAGAGCTGGACCACTAGCAGAGGTTGTGGGTGATCGGAAGGACGACTCGGCCGAAGGGGCCCGGGGTTCAGCAGAGGTTGCACCAGGCCAGGAGCAGGCTGCTGAGGGTGAAGAGGTTGTCAAAAAGAAGAAGAGAAGGAAGCGCAAAAGCTCGCAGGAGCCAAAGAAAAAGGAGAGGAGCAAGAGGAGACGGCGTGAAGAGGAGCCTGTTGAGACCAGAGGTGCATCCACAGCTGCACCCCCAACAAGGGCACCCCCCGTGCCCGGACCAGACCTGGGATTGCAGCCGGCACCAAAGCCAGCCCCATCCCTTCCAAGTCGGCTTGCCCGGCTGCCCTTGCCACCGCCGGCACCAGCCAGATCCGGGCCTGTTGAGCCCGACCATCCACCTCCTACGCACAGGAGTCAACAAGCGGGTCGACGACCCAGGACGCGGGACAACAGTCCTCGGAGAAGACACCGCGGCACTAAGGGTGTGCAGCACCGCCTGCGGGGCTACTACTACGGTCGACGCTGATCACCATGGCTCCCAAAGCCAAAGCAAGAGGAAAAGCAGCAGCCAAAGCAAAGCCCAAGGCAGCGATGCGGGTGGCCATGAGGAGAGTGGTTGCTCGACGCCCTGCGGGAGCTCCGGCTGTGTTGGGAGCTCCTGGGGTGTTGGACCGTTGGCGGTCTGGCGAGGAGGTCGGCTTCAGCGAGATCGGACTGGAGGAGTTGGGCCGTGGCGTGAAGATAGTTGTGACCAAGGGGTCATACTATACCGCGGAATGTCAGGCCGCAGGAACTCTGGACAGCATGACGGTGGAGTCCGGGGAGGTTCACTTGGGCCTGAAGTTGAGCGGGACCACGAACGAGAGCCTCCTGCGATACGCCACCGGTCAAGCAGGAAAGATGGTGAGGTGCCATCGGTGCACTCCCCTGTGCACTGGAGAGCGCGTGTCGGACGACCTCCTACACGTGAGCCGAATGAGGCTCATGAGAGATCGCGAAGAAGAAGACGGATGGACTCACAATCTCGTCATCGTCGACGCCGGCGAAGACGATCTTCGGGAAGTCCGGGCCCGAGCCGAGGCGAAGGACGAAGGCATCGGAGGGAAAGAAGAGCGAGGCCTGAAAGAGAAGACCGCCAAGTCACGGTCACGCCGGAGGAGGTCTCACGAGCGTGGGCGCAGCAAGAAGAAGAAGACAAAGGGCAAGAGGCGGAAGAAGAAGAAGGAGAAGGACCAGGCCTCGAGGAGCAGCGGAAGCAAGAAGCGGTCGAAGAAGGAGAAGGCCGCTGCAGGAGTCAAGGCAAGGTCAACTTCATCAAGCAGTTCGAGTACGATCAAGTTGGACGGTCGACACGCTCGCGGTGCGGCAATCAAGCCACTTGCAGCACTGTATGGGGGGACTGGTTTGGACCCCAAGGAGCGCATTCGCGTCGCCAAGAAGAGCAAGTCGGGGAAGAGCAGCGGATCGTCGAGGAGTTCCGGAGCTTCGGAGGACACAGGTGCAGAGGAGGTCAACGACCTGGGGCTCTTCGATCCAGAGACACGCCTGCAGAGAGTTGCGGAGCTTTACCATGGTGTTCTCACCGCTCAAGCTCTGAAGGGGATGCGTGCCAGCTTGCTTCAAAGCATTGGCTCCGACGACCAGTCCGGGCCCCCCCAGGCGATTTCACTGGCCTATTACCGCCAACAGTTGCAGAGGCGAGCATCAGGACCAGCACAGAGGGAATTGATCACCATCTGCGCGGCGCTGGACGCATTGATGAAGGGTGCGGCTTCAAAAGGGACAGACATCCTACGCCAGCGCCTGAAGTCAATAGAAGCGGTGATGTCGGGCACACACTGGTCAGTGGCTCAGAGGCTGGAGATCTCGCCGCAAGAGGCCCAGGTCTTAGCTGCAAAGGAGGAATTATCGGGGGCTCAAAAAGAAGCGTACGACGATTCCAAAGTGCGCTACCTCTCGAGCCTCCAAGACGGTCGAAAGGGGAAGAGCAAGGGCAAGGAGCGAGAGAGCACCGACCACAACAAGGGCAAGGGGAAGCAGAAGAGCGGCAAGAGTGGCAAGGAGAAGAAGGACGAGCAGGTGAGCAAATGAGCTCCTGGGAGCGGGAGCTACCTATGAGCTACCTATGAGTCGAGCTCCTGTGGACGGGAGCTGACGCTTCAGTTGGATGGAGAGGAGTTGAGCTCCGTTGCACAAGAGGAGCTGTTGAGTGGTTTTGGGCCATGGCCGGCAGCATTGAGTGTCGCACAACGCAGCTTGGTGCCGCTGGGAGCTGGACAAGACTCACTAGTTTCAAGCCCGTCGGGAGGCCATGCTCCTGACGATGAGGTGCACTTGTCGGGCACCGCCGAGGACTACAGTTTTCCACCGAGCCCTCCGCAGTTTGAAAACGTAGAGGAGTCGCACCAGCGACTGCGCGACGTCACGCCGACTGCTGAAAAAGAGCCTCTTCCGGAGTGCGATGAAGGGTTGAGGTTGTCAGGTCTAGGTCCCAAAGTTCTTCAACGTTTGGTGGAGGTTTTACCACTTCGCAGCTCGACCACGGGTGGGGGGAAAACCGACATTTACCCCTTGCCTACCTCCACGGATCTTTTGAAGGGGCTTTGGGATGACGTGACCGATGAGACTGTTTCGTGGGTCGCCTGTGTGTGTGTCATTGAATGCCCTTTGGGGCAGGTCGAACTTCCTTGCACTGGAGGTCAACAGCCGCCAGAAAGAGTGTCTAGGGATTCTTCGTGGAGAAGTTGAGCGTTTCTGTAGACTTGACCTGAGACTTAGTGGTTGCAATTGGCAGGAATTCTTCCGCACCAGGGCCATCGACTACCAGGGCGACGAGGTTCGTGTTGCTCGGTGGATTAAGTGGGAGAACATCATGCCCGCATTGCCGTCTGAGATTGGTCTGGTCCCCCTTGAAGAGGTGTGTTCGTTGGGGTGTCGGGAGTACGTGCTTTCGTTTGATTCTTATTTGAAACCACGGAGCTCCTGGGAATTGGTGAAGGCCCCTAAGGTCATGGTTGAGGACGGAGCCTGGGGTGAGCTCTGTAGTGGGCTGGTAAGAGCCGGGGTTTGTTGCTACCTCGAAGAGGACATGGTCTTCCAGACCGGGAGTGGACCACTCCTGAACGGACTTTTTGGAGTTTCGAAGGAGGATTGGACGCCAGAGGGAGTTGAGATTTGTCGCCTGATTATGAATCTGGCGCCACTTAATGCCATCTGCCAACCCCTAGGAGGCGACGTTGACACGTTGCCTTCCTGGGGGATGATGAGCCCCTTCTTCATCCAGCCTGGCGAGAACCTTCTCATTAGTTCTGAAGATGTGAAGTGTTTCTTTTATACGATGCGGGTGCCAGATTGTTGGGTGAAGTTTTTGGCGTTCAACAAGGCCGCGCCGCAGAAGTGCTTGCCACCAGAACTACGGGGCAAAGTGGTCTACCTCGCCTCAAGGGTACTGCCCATGGGGTTCCTTAACTCCGTGAGCCTTGCTCAGAACGTGCGCCGGAACCTTGTGCTTTGGTCGGGCGAGAAGGTCGAAGGCGTAGCTCTGAGGTCTGCGGAGCTCCGGAAGGACCGTCCGTTCACGGTGGCAAACCCAGCCTGGCGTGTCTATCTCGACAACTACGATCTTCTGGAGAAAGTCAGCGCGACAGGAATGGTAGAGCTAGAAGGAAGCGTGGCGCCCGGTGTTCTGGCGTTGAGGGAGCAATACGAAGTATGGCAGGTTCCGCGCAACGAGAAGAAGGCAGTTGAGAGGTCGCACAAGTGTGAGCTCCAGGGGGCGACAGTTGATGGGGTTGAAGGCATTGCGTATCCGAAGGAGGCGAAGCTCGCCAAGTACTTCGCGTTGGCCTGGAAGTTAGTAGGGCAGGAGAAGGCGAGCCAGCGGCAGATGCAAGTGGTTTGTGGGGGCCTGGTCTACTTCTCCATGTTCAGGCGGCCACTGCTTAGTGCCTTGAACTCCGTATGGGCCTTCATTGAGAGCTTCAACTCGTCGGGGGCAGCATACCGGGCAATACCTCGTGAATGCCGTGCTGAGCTCCTGCGCTTCCTTGGGTTGATCCCGCTTGTCCGCATGAATTTCCGGTTGGACATGGACCCTGTTGTGTCGTGCAGTGATGCTTCAACGACTGGGGGAGGCATCTGCTGCTCGGTAGGCTTGTCTTCAGTGGGCTCAATGGTGGAGGCAGGAGGTATACGGGGACAGGTGCCGCATGCTTTGAGTGACCACCAGGTGCTGGTAGTGGGGCTCTTCGACGGCATCGGAGCCCTCCGCGTTGCCATGGACCTACAAGAGGTCGCAGAGTGTGGATACATCTCTGTGGAGCGCAACAAGGCCGCCCAGAGGGTTGTTGAGGCGCACTACCCAGGGGTTTTGCACTATGAGGACGTAGAGCTCATCTCCGACGAGGATGTGGTCTCCTGGAGCCTGAAGTTCTCACAATGTAGCTTGGTTGTACTGGGAGCTGGACCCCCTTGTCAGGGGGTCTCAGGACTCAACTCTGATAGACGTGGGGCGCTACGTGATGCGCGCTCCTCCTTGTTTGTCCATGTATCACGTATCCGTAGGATGTTGCAGGCGGCTTCCGAGTTCTTCGACACTGGAAAGGGCTGGCTACCCCGGAGACCCATTTAACTCCATCGCCACCTCGATGGCGTGCCCTCTTCAATGAATGTTTACAGGCCCTAGGCATTCAGGACTGGGGATTTCGCCCCTACTCGCTTCGGCGGGGAGGGGCCACGTTTTGGTTCCAGAAACACCAAAATCTGGACCGAATACTAATTCAAGGGAGATGGCACACACAGAAAAGTGCTCGGATCTATCTGAACGAGGGGTTGTCGGTCCTTAGTCAGATGAAGCTCCCTGCCAGCGACTCACGTCTCAAGCCATACTTGACAGTGTACAGAAACTTCATCGCGCACCCAAAATTTTCAACACTTGAGCCTCCTAGCGGAAGAGCTGGGGGGCGTGGAAAGAAGAATTCCAAGAGCAGAAAGGGCAGAAAAAGTGTGTTCCTT